GCGCTTAGAACATTGCATGGCCCGCTTATAGTGGACACTTACCAGTGCTTACAATCTGACTGGTACTTATTACGGTCTCCATCTCACCCTGAATACTGAGCACACCTCGAACCCTGCTCCCCAAACCAGTCCCAGTCCAATTTAACCCTCGACTAGCTCTGTCCTTGAGTTGGAATCTTCCTGGTCTCACAGAGGTAACTCTAACCCCCACCCCATCCCTAACCCTATCCCTGCCTCCAGACTCGCCCTGGCCTGTTACCCGCTACCCCAAAGCACCCTGTGTCCCTTACCCCCCCACACAGCACCATGGCAACTGGCCAGCATGTCCCTCCCACCCCTCTCCCCACAGAGTACGCCAACAAAGTGTTGCTCTGCCTGTTCACTGTGGAGATGCTTCTCAAGTTGTACGGGCTGGGCCCCTCTGTCTACGTCTCCTCCTTCTTCAACCGCTTCGACTGCTTCGTGGTTTGTGGGGGCATCCTCGAGACCACCTTGGTGGAGGTGGGCGCCATGCAGCCCCTGGGCATCTCTGTGCTCCGATGCGTGCGCCTCCTCAGGATCTTTAAGGTCACCAGGTGCGTGGAGGATGAGAACAATGGGACCCCAAACAGCCCCAACAGCTATACCCCAACTCCAGCGATAACTTCATCCGTGCCACCATTCAGGTTTTTAAAGATTGATTGATTGACTTGAAAGGAAGAGATACAAGGAGAGAGACTGGGGATGTGGGGAGAGAGAGAGAGAGAGATCAAGAGATCTTCCATCTGCTGGTTCACCCCCTAAATGGCCATAATTGTAGAGTCTGGACCAGGCTGAAGCCAGGAGCCCAGAATTCTATCTGGGTCTCCCACATGGGTAGCAGGGACCCAAGCACTGGGGCCATCTGTTGCTGCTGTCACAGGTACATTAGCAGGGAGCTGGATCTGAATTGCAGCAGCCGGGAATTGAACCAGTGCTCATCTGGGATGCCGGCATTGCAAGCAATGCCTTAACCCTCTGTGCCACGATGCTGGCCCCTCACCATTCACTTATTGAATATCCATTGAGTGCCTACTGCATGCTGGGCACTGTTCCAGGCCCAAGGAAAACATCGAGAATCAAAGGTTTCATGGATATTAAAATCCATTTGGTATGGGGCCAGCAGTGTGGTGTTGTGGGCTAAGCCTCCGCCTGAGGCACTAGCATCCCATATGGGCACCAGTTCAAGTCCTGGCTGCTCCTCTTCCAGTCCCGCTCTCTGCTATGGCCTTAGAAAGCAGTAGAAGATGGCCCAGGTCCTTGGGCTCCTGCACCTATGTGGGAGACCCAGAGGAAACTCCTGGCTCCTGGCTTCAGACCAGCCCAGCTCCGGCCATGGCAGCCATTTGGGGAGCAGATGAAAGACCTCTCTCTCTGTCTCTGTCTCTCTCTCTGTATGTCTCTCTGTCTCTCTCTCTGTAACTCTGTCTTACAAATGAATAAAATCTTTTTTTTTTTTTTGACAGGCAAAGTTAGACAGTGAGAGAGAGAGAGACAGAGAGAAAAGTCTTCCTTCCATTGGTTCACCCCACAAATGGCCTCTATGGCCAGCGCACTGTGCCCATCCGAAGCCAGGAGCCAGGTGCTTCCTCCTGGTCTTCCATGTGGGTGCAGGGGCCTAAGCACTTGAGCCATCCTCCACTGCCTTCCCAGGCCACAGCAGAGAGCTGGACTGGAAAAGGAGCAACCGGGACAGAACCGGCGCCCCAACCAGGACTAGAACCCGGTGTGCCGGCGCCACAGGCGGAAGATTAGCCTAGTGAGCCGCGGCGCTGGCTAAATAAAATCTTTTTTTAAAAAATCCATTTGGTAGTCATTACCAAGGCTTTTAGAATGCAGTTTCTCATTTGCTGGGGACAATGGCCATAAATCATTTTGCTGCTAGGATTTTCTACCTGCTATCTTATTCAGCCTAATGGAAACATCTGTATTTTTTTTAAAGTTTTTCTAAAACCCATTTGGGGAGAGTGTCTGCTCCGTTTCCATCCTCTTTCTCAATTTCAACTCCTGCTCTAATATCCCCAACCCCACCTCCAAAAGTCAACTCCCCATACTCATCCCCTTCCCAAACCCCAAGCATAACATCATCCCTAACCCCATCTCCAACCCCAACCACGCATGATCCTAAGATTCAGTCCTAAGCCCAACCCCATCTCCACTTCATCCGTAACCCCCAGCTCCATCCCCACTAATAAGCACTGACTATAACAGCATCCTCATTCCCCAAACACAGCTCGCATGTCCCTAACCCCTAACTGCTACCCTATCTCCAACAACAACCCCGATCCCTGCTCCTGCTTCGAACTCATCCCCATCCATCCCTCTATCCCAAAACTCTAGCACAATCTTATCCCCAAGCCCAGTCCCAGTCCCAGCCTAAAACCCAATTCTAGCTTCACCAACTTCCATTTGAACCTCCACCCTAATCTCCTCTCCCGTTGTTATACCAACCCTAACCCCCAATTCAATTACCCCCTTAACTTCTTTTTTTTTAAGATTTATTCATTTATTTGAAAGTCATAGTTACACAGAGAGAAGAGAGGGGGAAAGAGAGAGCAAGAGCGAGAGCGAGAGAGAGAGAGAGAGGTCTTCCATCCAATTGTTCACTCCCCAGATGGCCACAATGGCCAGAGCTGCAATGATCCGAAGCCAGGAACCAGAAGCTTCCTCCAGGTCTCCCACATGGGTGCAGGGTCCCAAGGACTTGGGCCATCTTCTACTGCTTTCCCAGGTCGTAGCAGAGAGCTGGTTGGAAGTGGAGCAGCCAGGACTGGAACCGGTGCCCATATGGGATGCCAGCGCTTCAGGCCAGGGTGTTAACCCACTGCACCACAGCACCAGCCCCTGTCCCCTTAACTTCTTTCTCTATACCCCAACTCTGAAATCACTTCCAACCTGATGCCAAGACCAGTTTAACCCAGCCTGCTGCTGTGTGTGCCGAGCCGGAGCCCTGCCGAGGTTCCTGGCTTTTCCAGGGGATGCAGCACCAACCCTGCCTTCTTCCATCTCTGCTGCAGACACTGGGCATCTCTGAGCAACCTGGTGGCATCCCTGCTCAATTCGATGAAATCCATCGCATCCTTGCTGCTTCTCCTCTTCCTCTTCATCATCATCTTCTCTCTGCTTGGCATGCAGCTGTTTGGGGGCAAGTTCAACTTCGACCAGACTCACACTAAGCGAAGCACCTTTGACACCTTCCCCCAGGCCCTCCTCACTGTCTTTCAGGTGGGACCTGGACACCCCCGGGGTTTTGTGGGTTGGGAGGGGGCCTGGAATTGGAGGGGATCCCAAGAGCTTCACAGTGACTCCCACCCCCAGATCCTAACAGGCGAGGACTGGAATGTGGTCATGTACGATGGCATTATGGCCTATGGTGGCCCCTTCTTCCCAGGGATGCTGGTGTGCGTCTACTTCATTATCCTCTTCATCTGTGGCAACTGTATCCTTGGACCCATCGGGGGCAGGATGATGGGGGTCTGGGTGGATTAGATGAGCTAGGCAGGCTGCGGGCAGGCTGCTTCTCCGACCTCGGCAGCCTAAGCTCACTCCAGACATCCTGCTGAACGTGTTTCTTGCCATTGCTGTGGACAACCTGGCCAGTGGAGATGCGGGCACTGCCAAGGACAAGGGCAGGTGAGGTCTGGCTCTGCCCCCAAGACAGAATCTCCCTGGCATCCCTTACTGGGAACCTTGCACAGATACCTCTCCCCACCAGAGATGCCTCTGGTCACCCTGATAATCCTCAGCTCCAGATACACCCTGACAATTCGCGTTCAATTAACATGCATTTATTTTTTTAAATATGTATTTATTTATTTATTTGAAAAGAGGAGTTACAGAGGCAGAGAAAGAGAGAGAGAGAGAGAGAGAGAGAGAGGTCTTCCATCTGCTGATTCAAGGAGTCAGGAGCTTCCTCCAGGTCTCCCACATGGGTGCAGGGGCCCAGGACTTGGGCCATCTTCTATTGCTTTCCCAGGCCAGAGCAGAGAGCTGGATCGGGAGTAGAGCAGCCAGAACTAGAACCAGTACCCATATGGGATGCTGGCACCACAGTGCTGGCCCCCATATGCATTTATTGAGCACCTACTTTGTGCAGGGCCCTATTCTAAATGCTGAGGAGATAGCAAGAGTTGAGGCAAACAGAATCCTTGCCTTCGTGCAACTGACATTCTACTTGGAGAAGGCAAGCAAAACACAAACAAGTGAATGTATAATAAAATTTCAATGTATGTTAATAGCATGTAGTGAAATCCTATTGATTAGGGTGGTAAAGAAAGGTCTCAATGAGGAAGTGACAGCTGAGCAGAGATCTGAGTGAACTGAGGGGGTGAGCCATGCAAATCTCTGGAGGAAAAGTATTCGAGGTAAGAGAACAGCAGGTGCAAAGGTCCTGAGGTGGAAGTGTCCATAGTATAGTCTAAAAACACCAGGGAGGCTGGAATGGAGTGAGAAAGGAGGAGAGTGGTAGGAAGTGAGATCAAATGGGGCAGGGGGATAGAGGGATCCTATTGAGGATGTCTTGGGCCAGGGGGAAGACTTTTTTTTCTGAGTGGGAGGAGTCCCAAAGGGAAGGGGTTGTGAGCTGAGGAAAGACGTGCTGAAAAGAATGTAATAGGCTCCCTCCGGCTACTGTAAAAACAGACCCGGGGGTGGGGACAAGGGTTGAAGCACGGAGGGTCTATGGGAACCAAGGAATTTCTGATCTGACTACAGGGACCCCGTTCAGCCTTGCCCGTCCATTGCCATCTGCAGTGATCACCACCTGTTTCCTCACACAGGGAGAAGAGCAGTGAGAGCAACCTCCCACAGGAGAACGGGGTGTTGGTGAGTTAGAAGCCTGGGAACTGTCTACACCTCCCCACCACCACCACCAAAACCTGTGTGTGTGTGCACGTGTGCGCATGCACGTGGCTTTAACCCTCATCCTCCTGCCTGTTCACCTCCCCTCGCCCCCAGCATAGCATCCCTTCCATGCCTCCCCTGCGTCCATCTCCTGGTGTCTCCTCTGCCATCAGTGACCCCCGGCTTCCTGTCCCCAGGTGCCTGGTGGGGAGAAGGAGGAAGAGGAGGGTGCAAAGAGTGAAGGAGCAGGCAAGTGGGCAGGGCCGGTTGCAGGAGGTGTGGGACCTCGGGACAGCTTCTGACCGCTGAGACCCTTCTCTCTGGGGCACGGGCTTTTCCAGGGTCACCGTGAAAATAACAGGCTTCGTGCGTGGCCAGCGACACTGGGGGCCATGGGTGTTAAAGAAGCAAAACAGACATTTCATTCTACTGCAGAAGTTCTCCGAGGCTTTATTATTCAATAGTGTGTATTTACAAGAGGACTGCCGAAAGCTTGTAGGGGAAAAACATATTATGAAAAAAAAAATGCATGGATCTCAAAATTTTTTGCACCAAGTTGAACTTATCTTTTAATTCCATTTTTGAAATCCCCACCTACAACATCCATTCAAATACACGTTTACAGGGGCCGGCGCTGTGGCATAGCAGGTAAAGCCACTGCCTGCAGTTCTGGCATCCCATATGAGCGCTGGTTTGAGTCCTGGCTGCTCCATTTCCCATCCAGCTCTCTGCTGTGGCCTGGGAGAGCAGTGGAGGATGGCCCAAGTCCTTGGGCCCCTGCACCCGCATGGGAGACCTGGAGGAAGCTCCTGGCTTCTGGCTTCCAGTTGGTGCAGCTGCAGCCATTGGGGCCACCTGGGGAGTGAACTAGCGGATGAAAGACCTCTCTCCCCCCTCCCCACCCTTCCTCTGCCTCTCTGTAGCTCTGACTTTGAAATTAAAAAAAAATAAATCTTAAACACACACACACATACACACACACAGTTACAGAGCTCCTGCTGTGTCCCAGGCACTGTTCTAGATGCTGGGGGCATAGCAAAGAACCAACCAGACTAAAATCTCCTCCCTACGGTGCTGACGTTCTAGCAGGGAAATGGGAACCAGTTGCTGTGTGACAAGCATTAGTCCAGGTGCTTTCCATCAGTTTTCTCGATTAATTGTCTCCTTTGCTCTTTTTCTGGTGCCAGGCATGGAAGAGGAGGAAGAAGAGGAGGAAGAGGAAGAAGAGGAAGGAGGTGCAGGGCGTGTGGAACTCCTGCAGGAAGTTGTACCCAAGGAGAAGGTGGTACCCATCCCCGAGGGCAGTGCCTTCTTCTGTCTCAGCCAGACCAACCCGTGAGTGCTGGGAGTGGCAGGGGCTGGGCACAGGGCCTGGTGGCAGGTGGAGCAGCACAGAAGGCCCAAGGCTGGACCAGAGCTGTGGCGCTGGGGCTCACCCTGAGCGCCGGGGCTCTGACCAGGCCCATATCCCCCCTAACCACGCGCCCTCTGCTGCGCAGGCTGAGGAAGGCCTGCCACACCCTCATCCACCACCACATCTTCACCAACCTGATCCTGGTGTTCATCATCCTAAGCAGCGTGTCCCTGGCTGCTGAGGACCCCATCCGAGCACACTCCTTCCGCAACCACGTGAGCCTCTGCTTGGGCTAGGGGGACTCCCCGCCCCGGGGGGCGACCTGCTGGGCGGGGAGAGCATCAGTCTTGGGGCCGGCCCCTCCTGCGTGTACAGCGCACCTGGGAAGCATCAGGGAGAACAAGAGTTAGACTGGGGGAGAAGCTGTGCTCAGAGAGGTTCAACAGTCTGAGGGCACCCAGGTAGCTGGGTTAGGGGTAGAGGAGTCCAGACGCGAGCCCAGAGCTTTCTGATGGCCAAAGCTTTGGGCTTATGGAAAAGTCTTTGATGACGATGATAATGGTGGTGGTGGTGGTGGAGAGGGAGGGAGGGAAGGGCGAGGGGAGAGAGAGAGCACGCGCAAAACTCACATAGAGAGGTGCACACGTGAGCAGGTCCACACCTAGCATCCCCTTAGCCATCCTCAGTGGCTCCTCCCCTTTCTCACTGCCCAGATTCTGGGGTACTTCGATTACGCCTTCACCTCCATTTTCACTGTGGAGATTCTGCTAAAGGTAACGAACAGGCTTCGGTTAACCCAGCACACTCCACGCCCACCCTCAAAGCCTGCTTCCTCCCCCTCCCCGTGGCCCCGGCCAGCCTCCGCCCCTGCTTCCCCTGCACTCCACTGCCCGCCTCTCCTGTCGCCACCCCCTCCTCCCCCCGAGCGTGCCCAGGCCTGCGTGCTCCAGCCTGCTGTCCTGTTCCCCAGATGACCGTGTTTGGGGCCTTCCTGCATCGTGGCTCCTTCTGCCGTAGCTGGTTCAATCTGTTGGATCTGCTGGTGGTCAGCGTGTCCCTCATCTCCTTCGGCATCCAGTGAGTGATGTACACACAGACACACAGACACACACACACACACACACACCTGTCCCGAGTCAAGGCCAGGCCCAGGTCAAGGTCTGAGGCCTGGCCCTTCCTCAGTTCCAGCGCCATCTCAGTGGTGAAGATTCTCCGAGTCCTGCGCGTGCTGCGGCCCCTCCGAGCCATCAACAGGGCCAAAGGACTGAAGGTAAACCTCACCTCGTCCAAACCCACAGGGATCCCTGAGCAAACTGACCGTCTACATCAGTGCGTGGCCCGCAGCCTGGGCCTCACCCCTGGCCATGGCCCCCTACAAGGCACCACACCATTCCTTACCAGTGGCCGCTCTTCTGGGATCCAGGTCCCTGGCACACACCCACATGCCCGTGCCTGGCAAGCAGTTATGCCTGCTTGGTGCGCCCACATTCCTGGCCCATCTCACTGCCCTCTTGACCGCACGTCCCCTGACCCACAACCACAAGCCCTTCAACCCAAGTCCCTGAGCTGTGTCCATCACCAAAGCCCCACGCCCATTGGGCACCATGGCCTGCACTGGTGTCCACGAGCTGTATGCATGGGTGCCTGCAGCACGTGGTGCAGTGTGTGTTCGTGGCCATCCGGACCATTGGGAACATCATGATTGTCACCACGCTCCTGCAATTCATGTTCGCCTGCATCGGCGTGCAGCTCTTCAAGGTGGGAGAAACACTGTGGGCGGGGGGGGGGGGCAGGCAGGGGTCAAGGCCATTGACGCAGAGGCAGGGCGGGGAACCTTCTTGACTGATGTACTCCTTACAGGGGAAATTCTACAGTTGCACTGATGAGGCCAAACACACCCCCAAAGAATGCAAGTGAGTGCCTGAGACCCTACGTGCCTCAGAACCCAGAAGCCCTCCCAAAGGCTCTCGAGACCCCTACACTGCACGTGAAACCCCTAGAGCTGCCCCTCAAGACCTCCAGAACCGCACCCCTCCCACCAAGGCCACCAGATACATCCCCTAGAACTTCCCCGAGAGTACTGCAGGGGCTCTCAGGGTTCACTAAGCCCTTAGAAGCTCCTCGTTCCTACCCCCAAAACCTCTCTCCACAGTCCACCCCCAGCCCCCCTGCCCAGCAATTCCCGAGCCCCCCTCAAGTCCCTGACTTTCACGCAGAGCTTCCCACACAGGCTAGCACTAGTGCTTACAAGCTGGGTCTGCAGAATCCGACACTCCCCGGGTCAGCTCCACTTCAGGAGACTTGGCTACGTTTCTGAGCCTTGCTGAGGCCCATTTTGCTCATCTGAAGAGCGGGGAGAAGAGCATGCCTGTCACACACGGCTCTTGCAGGGAGTTTGTGACTCCCTACATACAAAGGGTCCTCTACAGCGTAAAATCACCACGTGGAAAGGCCAGCGCGGGGCCTGCTGTAGGGTTAGTGCTAATAAATGTTGGCTGCCATGAACATCAGCGGCCCTTCTTCCTGGCTGGTGGTGACGGTGATGATGATGGTGGTGACAGCGGTGGTGGTGGCGATGATTCGGTGCCAACGCTGGGCCAGACACTAGTCTCATTTCTTGACTTATTTAATCCTTATGACAAGCCAGGAAATAGGTTCTGTTATCACCCTTGTTTCCTAGATAGGGATCATGGAAGCACCACCAGGTTCAATGTCAAAGGTCACCCAGCTGGGCTAGGAAAGAACAGGATTTCAACCCAAGCTGTCTAGCTCCACCCACTCTGCCTCCTGAAGCTGGGGACCGCAGCCCCTTTGGCACAGCTCCCATCCCTCTTCACCTGCTAAGCCTGTCTGCACCCCCCTGCAGGGGCTCCTTCTTGGTCTACCCTGACGGAGACGTGTCACGGCCCCTAGTTCGGGAGCGGCTCTGGGTCAACAGCGACTTCAACTTTGACAATGTCCTTTCAGCCATGATGGCCTTGTTCACTGTCTCCACCTTCGAAGGCTGGCCTGCGTGAGGGGCAGGGCCCCCTGGGGGGGGTGTCAGGGCTTTGGGCAGCAGTTGGGCTCTCTAGGGACTAGATGGGTGTGACCCCATTGTGGACGGGTGGTAAAGACCTCACAAGACGGGACCGGGTGTTCTGGGGTCTGGTGCGCTTATTAGAGTTCTGATGGCGTCTCCCAAAAGCTGGCTGGGGTTCTCTGGGGACGTGAGTGATGTCCAGGAGTTGGGTAGAACTCTCTGAGAGTTGGGTGGGATTTAGATGACAGTCTGTGGAGGTCCAGGGTGGGTGGGGTGGGAGGGACTGGCAGAGAGTCTCTGAAGAGACAGAGCAGAGGATTCAGGAGTTTCTAGAGAGCCGCGTGGGTCTTTGGGGTACTGGCTGGAGGTGTCTGTGGGGATGGAGCAGGGGATTCTAATCGATAGGGCACGGGATTCAGAGATCTTTAGGGGCTTGTGGGAGAGTTCCAGAGAGCTGAACACGAGCTCCACGTGGCTGGAGAAGGGGATTGGGAGGTATGTGGGAACATAGGGGGCTTGGGGGTCTTCGAGGGCCTGGCTGGGGAGTCTCTAGAGGGCTATAGGGGGGGTCTGTGGGTCTCTGGAGATCTGGGACAGGAGACTTAGGAGTCTCTGAGGTTGTGGTGGCGAGCGATTCCTTGGTGTGTCTCTGGAGGTTTCGGGTGGCTAACTCAGAGGATTTAGGCATCTTCAGGGTGCCAGGCAGGAGACTCCCAGGTGTCTACAATTAGTGGTCTGGGGGCGTGTCTGAGCGGGCCACCTCCACCTCTACCCCCACACTGCCTCCCACAGGCTGCTGTACAAGGCCATTGATGCGCACGCAGAAGATGAGGGTCCCATCTATAATTACCACGTAGAGATCTCTGTGTTCTTCATCGTCTACATCATCATCATCGCCTTCTTCATGATGAACATCTTCGTGGGCTTCGTCATCATCACCTTCCGAGCCCAGGGCGAGCAGGAGTACCAAAACTGTGAGCTGGACAAGAACCAGGTGACCTCTGACCCCAGCCCCCAATTGCTGCCCCCCTGGCTTTGGGATCCCGCTGCTCACTCATGCCCTGTGCCTGTATGCAGCGCCAGTGTGTGGAGTACGCCCTCAAGGCCCAACCACTCCGCCGCTACATACCCAAGAACCCTCATCAGTACCGCGTGTGGGCCACTGTGAACTCGGCTGCCTTCGAGTACCTCATGTTCCTGCTCATCCTGCTCAACACCGTTGCCCTAGCCATGCAGGTCTGTGCTCCCCTCCCTGACCCCTGTGAGACACCTGCCCCTGTTCTCTCCACACAATCCCTTGGGAAGTGTTAGGAATGCTTTAGGCTGCAAGTAACAAATCCCCCAGCTGACAGAGACTTATTGAGCCATTTGTCACATTTCTTTCAATCTAGGGCCAGTGATTATCAATTGCATCCTGATTTCAGACGTGTAAGAATATGAAAAAATAGGCCGGCGCCGCGGCTCACTAGGCTAATCCTCCGCCTAGCGGCGCCAGCACACCAGGTTCTAGTCCCGGTTGGGGCGCCGGATTCTGTCCCGGTTGCCCCTCTTCCAGGCCAGCTCTCTGCTGTGGCCAGGGAGTGCAGTGGAGGATGGCCCAGGTGCTTGGGCCCTGCACCCCATGGGAGACCAGGAAAAGCACCTGGCTCCTGGCTCCTGCCATCGGATCAGCGCAGTGCGCTGGCCGCAGCGCGCTGGCCGCGGCAGCCATTGGAGGGTGAACCAACGGCAAAGGAAGACCTTTCTCTCTGTCTCTCTCTCTCACTGTCCACTCTGCCTGTCAAAAAAAAAAAAAAAAGAATATGAAAAAATAGCCTAGTAACCATTGTAACTTGCCACTGTTTATCAAATGTGTCTGAATTTCAGAGATTCTAAAGTGTAAAAAGATATGCATCTTAATGTCAAAGAAATATAACAATTGGTCCACATGATGAGAAATGCAGAGGTAGACGTTTTGCTCATTGCTCATCAGAGACCCAGACTCTGTCTATCTTTCTGCTTCGCCATCTTTAGCAAGTTGGCTTTCATTCTCATGGGCTGTAGCTTCGTGGTCACAACATGGTTGCTGCAGCTCCAGACATCAAAATCACATTCAAGGCAGGAAAAAGAAGGGAGAGTTGCACCACAGGTCTCTGTCTTCATTTAAGTCTTCTATTAGAAGGTAAAATGCTTTTCACCAAAACTGCCAGCCAACAGCAGGCTGATGTGTATGTCTTGTTAGTCAGAAATGACTTATCTTGGTTACAAGAAAAGCTGGGGATGAAAAAACTAGGCTTTCTGCTCCCCGTTATGAGAAGCAGACAACGATTTGGCCAAACCATGGTACTACCATAGCTCCAGGGTCAATGCAGCCTGGGCCCAGGACTATTTGCTTGGGGGTAGGGCTCTACCTGAGGCTCTGTCCCTCCTTGCTTTGTTCCCCCAGCACTATGAGCAGACTGCTCCCTTTAACTACGCCATGGACATCCTCAACATGGTCTTCACTGGCCTCTTCACTATTGAGATGGTGCTCAAAATCATCGCCTTCAAACCCAAGGTGACCCCAGCCCTAGGCGCACCTCCTTTGGGTAGAGCCCATTGCCCTCTGCCCTGGGCCTGCTGGCTAGGAAAACACAGAGCACTGCTTTTCTCTTGCCTACAGCATTATTTTACTGACGCCTGGAACACATTTGACGCTCTTATTGTGGTGGGCAGCGTGGTGGACATTGCCGTCACTGAAGTCAACGTAAGGACTGGCCTGTCCACTAGCCCATTCTCCTTCCCTCCGCCCCCAGGGCTCTCTTTCACATGAGTGAGTGGTGTCCCTTCAATCCTCCTCACTCCTGGACACTTAGCACTCCTCATTCTAGCTCTGCCCCCTCTGAGTTCCAGTTGGGCTCAGCCAAAGTCCCCCTTATTGCATTGTGCAATCTATCCACCAGCTACACAGTCTCTAAAATGCTTCTCCCGTTATCTTGTATCTCTTCCACCACTTCTACCTCCCCTTCCATGGGTTCCATCACCTCAACTGACTCCTGCTTTGGCTGCATCATCTCTTCTGACTGCTTCGTTGGCTCCACTTCCTCCAACAACTACATTGTCTCCAACACATCTCCATGCTGGGCTTCTCCATTGGGTCCTCCGTCATCTCCGTCATCTCCGTCATCTCCGTCATCTGACACCACTGGCTCCATTATTTCCTCTGCTGGCTCCAATGTCTCTCTCCCTCTCCTTTACCCTCTCCTCCCCCTCGCACCGCCATTGTCCACTTTTGCCACAACCATCTGAATCCATTACCCACACACACCCTTTCGCATCATCCTCTGCATGATGGCCCTGCCGTCATCCTCTCTATATGCTCCATCATGTCTACTCTTGTTCATCTGGGACTTTGTTCCCATCATATCTTCCATCATCTCTGCCTTTGCCATGTCTCCTTCCAGAATGGTGGCCACCTTGGTGAGGTAGCTCCCTTCACAACAGGGACTATAGACTCCCGCCATCCCTCCCCCTTTCCTCCTTTCCTCCTTCCCTCCTCCCTCCCTCCTTCCCCAAGAGTCCTTAGAAATGCTCCCAAAGCACCCTGGGGCCTGAGTTCTGAGGGATCTGGGGACCAGGAGGGCCGAGGCAGGAGACAGGGAGGTGGCTGGAGCAGATGCGATCTGAGCATGCCCACTGCACCCCCAACCCCAGAGCTCGGAGGACAGCTCCCGCATTTCCATCACCTTCTTCCGGCTCTTCCGAGTCATGCGGCTGGTGAAGCTTCTCAGCAAGGGTGAAGGGATTCGCACGTTGCTCTGGACGTTCATCAAGTCCTTCCAGGTGAACTGCTACCCCTCGCCTCTGATGCCCCCGCTGCAACACCTCTCACTTGCCCCTCTATCAACCCCCAAAATGACATCTCTCAGCATGCCTAAGCCATTTCCAGCATCTCCAGTTTTCTCCCTTTTCTGAGCTCTCAATTCCTCTGGCCCCACTCACCTTACTCTATTCTTTTTAAGGTTTATTTATTTATTCATTTGAAAAGCAGACTTACGGAAGGTGGGGAGACAGAGAGACAGCAGGAGATCTTTCATCCACTGGTTCACTCCCCCAAACAGCCTCAACAGCTGCAGCTGGGCCAGGCCAAAGCCTGGAGCCAGGAACTCCATCCTGGTCTCCCACGTGGGTGGCAGGGGCTCAGGGACTTGGGCCATCTTCTGCTGCATTCCCAGGCACATTAGCAGGGAGCTGGATCAGAAGCAGAGCAGTGGAGACTGGAACCAGCTCTCATATGCGATGCTGGTGTCGCAGACAGCAGCTTAACCCACCACACCACAATGCCTGCCCCATACTTCTGTCCACATTTGGGAGGCACTGGTAGTCCTGGACACCTTGGAAATGGACTCTATCCGCCAGCAGGCCTGGGCCAGGGGGAGCTTGGAACCCTCTGCGTGGACCTGAGCATCTATCCTCCCCTTCCCCCCACCCCCATAGGCCTTACCCTATGTGGCTCTTCTCATCGCTATGATATTCTTCATCTATGCCGTCATCGGCATGCAGGCAAGTGGGATCCCTAGGGAGCATCCCCCAGGCACCCTCTGCTGGGAGGTTGATTGGGTAGGAATAGCCCCAAAGAGGAGGTAGTGGGTGGAAAGGCAGAGAGATGAGTTGGCTGACCCTGGGGCAGTCTGCACATCTGTGAAATAGGATCAGCGGGGCAAGCTTGTCAGGGCTGTGAGCACACTTTAGGCATTAGGAGGTATGAAGTGGGTGGTGACACACGGAGGCATAGGTTCACCTCACTCGACACAGTCCTTGTGTGCCCATAGATGTTTGGCAAGGTGGCTCTTCAGGATGGCACCCAGATCAATCGGAACAACAACTTCCAGACCTTCCCGCAGGCCGTGCTGCTTCTGTTCAGGTGACATCTCCCCCCTGCTCTGCCCTGCCCCCCAAGCCCCTCACATGTGCATGGTGCCCACACTGCCTCTCTGGGCTCCAGACTGCCCAAGCTACAGAAATCATGGGGCACCAGATAGCCCAAGACCTTTCCTGGCTGGGAGTCAAAGAGCCTGGTAGAATATTCTAGCCTTAGCCATTCTTGTTCTAGCTTTCAGATGTAACCCCCCCCCAGCTCTCCATGGTCCACCTGTCAGACATGGACGTGACTGGCATCAACATGGCCACACTCGCTGTCAAAATACTGACATGCCAGCTGTGCCAGACGCTGCCCCTGGTGAAAGTGGGCCTTCTACTCACTCCCCCTCCACACATCCCGTTCCCCTGCAACCCCACTGGCCGTGACTTCACAGCCTCTCCTCCAGGATGCCAGCCCTTTGTGTGTGTGTGTGTGCGCGTGCGCACGTGTGTGTGTCTTCACAGGTGTGCCACTGGGGAGGCATGGCAGGAGATCATGCTTGCCAGCCTTCCTGGGAGTCGATGCGACCCTGAGTCTGACTTTGGCCCTGGCGAGGAGTTTACCTGCGGTAGCAATTTTGCCATCGCTTATTTTATCAGCTTCTTCATGCTCTGTGCCTTCCTGGTGAGGACCGTTTCCCCACAATCACCACCACCGCCAAGGGGGATAACTCTGAGGGGTTCGGGGGGCAGGGGCGGGGGGGTGGTCAAATGAGGTAGGCAGCCCAGATCTCCAGTGTGCTCAGAGGACTGGTCTGACAAGAAGCTAAACACAGGACTCCTAAGCCAATGACCCTATGAGCTCACCGCAGCCTTCCCTCAATCCCCACCCCCACCCCACCCGACCCCACCTGCTGTGACCCTGCTCTGACCTTCGCCTAACCTCCCCGCTCACTGGCCTGCAGATCATAAATCTCTTTGTGGCTGTGATCATGGACAACTTTGATTATCTAACCAGAGACTGGTCCATCCTGGGCCCCCATCACCTTGATGAATTCAAGAGGATCTGGTCTGAATACGACCCTGGGGCCAAGTATGCCCTCTAACCCCTGACCTGCATTGCCAAGGGGGGAAATGCACTGACCCAGATGGTCCCCCAGCCCTAGAACCTCTAACCTAAGCCTCCCACTGCCCAGTCAACAGATGCCCCAGGGTTTCCACTAACCCTGTCCTCTGCCCTCTCCAACTGCCCTCTGGTGCTTCCCCAGCAGGCCTTGGGGTGTTGGGGGTGGGGGGAGGAACAGTGAGCTGGTAGGGCTTTAAGAAAGGACTCCAGGAAGCGTTACCAATCCAGTGGTCCCTCCCCAACTGCCCCAGGGGCCGCATCAAGCACCTGGATGTGGTTGCCCTGCTCAGACGCATCCAGCCCCCGCTGGGATTCGGGAAGCTGTGCCCACACCGAGTGGCCTGCAAGGTGCGTGCACCTGCCCACCGCAGGGCACAGGTGGCCAGGGAGTTGCTCTGGGTGGGGGGGGGGGCATGGAAGATGCTTGGTCATATCCTCAAAGATTTCTGCTCCCCAGACATTTGAGCCTACATACCCAGCATTTTCTCAGAATAAGTTTCTTGTCTGGTATTCGCAGAGACTTGTGGCAATGAACGTGCCCCTCAACGCAGATGGCACAGTGACATTCAATGCCACTCTCTTTGCCCTGGTCCGGACATCCCTGAAGATCAAGACAGAAGGTCTGGGGGAGAGGGGGCGGGAGTCACAGGGTGCCTAGGGAGGGTGCTTCTTCCTATTGTGTCATGCCCCCACTCCCCCCACATTATCCTCCAATGCAGGGAACCTGGAGCAAGCCAACCAGGAGCTGCGGATGGTCATCAAGAAGATCTGGAAGCGGATAAAGCAGAAACTGCTTGATGAAGTCCTGCCCCCTCCGGATGGTGAGCTATCCCCACCCTGAATGTCCAGCCATGGCCCCCATCCCAAAGCCAGCACTGGCCAGGGCCGGGGCCAGGGCAGGGGGTAAGTCCGTGCTACTGAGTAGGAAGGTGGGGACAAGGGACAGGGCCAATGCCCCCTATAACAGCCTTGCCTTCTTCTCGCCCTTGACCTCAGAGGAGGAAGTCACCGTGGGAAAATTCTATGCCACATTCCTGATCCAGGACTATTTCCGCAAATTCCGGCGCAGGAAAGAAAAAGGGCTGCTAGGGGCCGAGGCCCCCTCAAGCACCTCCTCTGTCCTCCAGGTGTGCAGGGAAGGGCCTGGTGCGGGGGTGAAAGCACTGTGCAGAGGCTGGGCTCCAGCCCATCTCCAGGAACCCACATGGCAACTGCGGAAACGCGGAGGCTCGGGGCGGCTGAGGGGCTCTTGCTGCACTCCCGGGTGGGACACAAGGCCCTGGAAGGGAAGTTGAGACCCCCTGGCCTCCTTTTCCACCCCCGCAGGCCGGTCTGAGGAGCCTGCAGGACCTGGGTCCTGAGATCCGGCAGGCCCTCACCTGTGACACGGAGGAGGAGGAGGAGGAAGAGGGACAGGCTGAAGAGGAGGAGGAACCCGAGAAAGACCCAGAAACACACAAAGTGAGTTCCACTAGTGCTCACACCCCGAGAAATTCTTTTGCATTTATTTGTAAAAATATTTTCAAGATTCATTTATTTATTTGAAAGGCAGAGTTACAGGGTATAGGGTTGGGAAATTTTTGGTGCACTGGTTCACTCTCCAAATGGCCGCCATGCCCAGAGCTGGTCCAGGCCTAAGCCAGGAGCCTGGAGCTTCATCTGGGTGTCCCATGTGGGTGGCAAGGGCTATAAGCACTTGGACCACCTTGCGCTGCCTTCCCAGGCATATTAGCAGAGAGCTGAATCAGAAGTGGAGCAGCCAGGAATCGAACCAGTACCCATATGGGATGCCAGCATTGTAGGCAGTGGCTTAACCTGCTACGCCACAGTGCCAGCCCCTATTTTAACCGATTTATACATGTTGACTTTTTTAAACAAATGTGCTCATGTTTAAGTGGTCCCATGTGATATTTCAATAGATGTATCCATGTGTAATGTGCAGTCAGGGTAAACATACCCATCTCTTTAAACATTCAACCCCAAGAACTCTTGATTGTAAAATATTCCCTGAGTCTTGAGTGACTTTGACCCTGCCTCTGGGAAGAAGCCATCTCTGCCATAGAGAAATATTTGCCTGGTGCCTATTTATCTGGCTGTTGGAGGGCAAGGCCCAGATGCAGACCCTGGGGAGTTCATGGACTAGCGGGAGAGACAGACGAAATGAAATGACCAAGCGATGCAGCTGTCACATGGTTGCTACACTCCATCTTGTGACGTTCCACAGGCCCCGGTGGACTCCCAGCCCCCATCTCGCCGGGGATCCAGGATTTCTGTGTCTCTACCTACTGGGGACAGACCTCCAGATTCACTCACCCTTGGGCCCAGCGATGATGATGGCGGGGCTCCCAACACCAGACAGCCCAGTGCGTCCCAGGCTGGATCCCACAGTCACAGGTATGTTCAAGTGCCTTGTCGTGGTAGGGGGCGCTGAGTCTGTGCTGCAGGACCCAGGGGGGAAGGGGGGTCATTTCAGAGGCCTTCAAGTGGAAACCTGGGAAGGATGAAGGTGTTTTGAAATTTTGGTGGGAACAGATGCTGATAAGAGTGACATTGCAGAAGCTCAGTGCGAAATGTGGAAGTCAACTGGTTTAGTTCAAATCCTGGCACTCTCATTTGCTGAGTGAACTTAGTTGTTATGATCCTCAAGTTCCTCACCTGTAAAAGAGAGCTGATGGTGCACGTACTTTGATTTTTTTTTTAAACCTTGGATACTTCTAATGAGACAAACATCTATGAAAAGAAAGCCCATGTTCACCTAAGAAAGATCGATGGTTAGTTTATGTTATGTGAATTTTCCTCAGTTAAAAATAAATAAACAAACAAACCGTAAGTCCCCACATTTCTCTAGGGGATAGGGCATGGAATGAGGAGGATCCCGGGACCCAGGGCCACCTACCAGGGGGATCTGGTCTGCCTAACATGCCTCCTTTTCCCCAGGAGAGACTCTGGGGTGTTCATGTTCACCATCCCAGAAGAAGGGAGTCCTCAGTTCCAGGGAACTAGCAGGCAAGACAAGCAGGATGAGCAAGAAGAAGCCGCCGACCAGTACACCGGTCATACCATGTAGGATGGGCCCAGGAGCCCTGGGCGGGAGGACGGGCCTATGGGGGCCACACCTCCCCGGCCCAGGCCTCACTCCTCTCTGCCCTCCTTCCTGCACAGGCTCTCCTTCGTGGATGAGCAGACGGGGACGCCCCCGCACCCACTCCTTCCGCCGCCTCAGAGACCCCAGCGATATGTGAACGGGCACCATGCACCACGTCGCCGCCTGCTGCCCCCCACGCCTGCAGGTGAGAGCAGGGAGGGGCCCTAAGGGGCTTCCCCGAGGGCCAGCAGGACAGAGAGTCATGGACAGGAACTAACCTTGGTCTTTGCCCTGGCACCCCCTTCCCCCCACCCCCAGCTCGGAAGCCCTCCTTCACCATCCAGTGTCTGCAACGCCAGGGTAGCTGTGAAGATTTACCCATCCCTGGCACCTATCATCGCGGGCGGAACTCGGGGCCCAGCAGGGCACAGGTGAGGCAGTGGAGGAGGTAATGAGGTCTGGAGGGGTGGGGGCGGCCTCTGCTGAACATAGGCAACAAGCTACGTGACAGGCCCTTCCGAAGAACAGGACGCGTGTGAAGGGATGCAAAATCCTCACTCGCTGTACCAGTGAGATGGGTACTTTTCTTATCGCCCACTTTACAGATGAGGAAATGGAGGCTCACAGAGGTTTACCCAAGATCACAAGGCTAGCAGATGGCAGAGCTGCCACTGCACAGAGCACACTTGCCTAAGTTCCTATCTCATTTGCACCCGTTTGGTTTGGCTCCAGTTGCTTGCTGGAGGAAAGGGACAGGACTCACAGGGCTGAGTTCTGGAACCTCCCAAGCCCACCCCTGCATCCGTCACCCTCTGATGTTTACAGGGCTCCTGGGCCACCCCTCCTCAGCGGGGTCGGCTCCTGTATGCCCCACTGCTGCTGGTGGAGGAGGGGGCAGCAGGGGAGGGATACCTGGGCAAAGCCAGCAGGCCACTGCGCACCTTCACTTGCCTGCATGTACCTGGAACCCACTCGAACCCTGGCCATGGCAAGAGAGGCAGTGCCGACAGCCTGGTGGAAGCTGTGAGTCCAGAGGGGGCATAGGCAAGAGGGATGGGGGAGAAGAGAAAGAGGTGGAAAGGGAGCTGCGGGAGGAGGGAAATGAGGTTCCCAGGCTCCGTGTGGTACGCATAGGCATCCCTCGGCTCTATGCCCTCTTCTCAGCATGATGTGCGTACCACTGTTCCCCCGACCCCGACCCCTCTGCACACACTGCAGTCAATCAACCCTGACCCTCCCCCCACCCCGTGCCTCCAGGTGCTCATTTCTGAAGGCCTGGGCCTCTTTGCCCGAGACCCGCGCTTTGTGGCCCTGGCCAAGCAGGAGATTGCGGATGCGTGTCGCCTGACTCTGGATGAAATGGACAGTGCTGCCAGTGACCTGCTGGCACAGGGGAGCAGCTCACTCTACAGTGATGAGGAGTCCATCCTGTCCCGCTTGGATGATGAAGACCTGGGGGATGAAATGGCCTGCATCCACGCCCTCTGAAATCCCACCCCTCCACACACACACACACACACACACTGCTCAATAAACCTTCTGCTTGCTCACCTCAGAGGGACACAGGCATGGATCACAGCCCGGTGTTCAGTGCCTTTGTACTGGGGACTTTGGGCTGCCCATCAGCCCTCATCCTTCCATCCATCCTTCCATCCATCCTTCCATCCATCCATCCTCTGTTCCAGCTCTGAACCACTGCCCACACAGGAGTATTTCCAGAAACCAGGACAACCAGGCCTGATTATTCAGCGTCAGGAAAGGAGGGAGGAGGAGGAGGAGGAGAGGAGGAGAAAGAGACGGCTGCCAAAAAAAGCTGGAGAGAGTGAAGGTGGTGGGGGAGGGGAGAATGCTGGACAGAGACAGTGGAAAGAGGAGAGAGAGGATGTAGGGATGCATGGATGAGGAAGGGAGACAGAGATGCCACAAGGGGCCAGCAGCCAGGTCAGGCTGAGGAAGACTACGGGACCCCAGAGCACAGTCCTGCCTAGAGATTGGAGTCAGCCTGCTGTGTGATGTGTCTCGGGCACAGGGGTCCTCTACTGGCAGCAGGAATTTCAGGGAGGCTAAATTCAGATCACCGGTTGCCGTCTCCCACCTCCTACCTTCTGCCTCAGAAAGAGAAAACCAGAATCCATTGGTAGAAGGCGCACAGGTGACAGCAAAGGGCAGAACTCCCACTCAGCTCTCCCAGCCTAGCTTTCCTGAGACCATCTGAGGGTAACGCACTCTCCTCCCACACAGACCCCAGGTCTGCTTCTTGCCTCACCTCTGGGGACTCATTCATTCACTGAAAGCTTCTCAGGCATTCCGACGTGTCAGGTGCCACCCTGGGTCTTCGTCAGGGCAAACCAAGCTGGATTAGATATGTGACATGGCTGAGCCAGACTGGGAGTCTCAGTCCATCTCCGAAGGAATTGGAGGCAGTATTGGGAGTGGTATGGGGTGGGGCCACCACTGAGCCCTGTGTGAAGTAGGATCTCCAGCCAGCACTCAGAGCAGGAGTTTCTCATTTCTATGAGTTTGTTCTATCAATCAATCAATCCAGGATTGAAATTTAGAGGAAGCAAGAATTATAGAGACTAGGGCTCAGAACATAGACGCACACTGGACCTTGAAGCAAGGGCTTGAAGTGTTTGGGCTGGTGTATAGTGGAGACAGCAGGTCATGTATAGGGCATGGGGGCTGAAGGCAGACTGTTGAGGGATGGGCTAGGAGAAACCACCTGAGGGCCAGATCATGCAGAGCCTTGAATGCCAAACCCCAAACTGTGGGATTTTTTTTTCTTAAAAGCAGTGGCGAGCCATAGGAGGACTTTGAGTAGGGTAGTGACATAGTTAACTTTGCATTTTAAATAGACTCTGACGCTGTGCTGAAAACAGAAGGGAGGGGGAAGAGAGTGGAGAAGCTAAAATTGGCAGGAATGATGGTTGCCTTAGCCAGGCGAGGTGGCAGAGGAGATGGTGAGAAGTGAGTGGATTCCAGAGATGTGAAAGAGGTAAAATGAACCATTTACTGGGCTCTGTGCTGGGGGCATTACAGCGATTATCTTATTTCATCAGTACAACACCCCTATAGGTATCATTTTAAACCATTACATGTTCAAGGTCAAACAGGAGTAAACATTAGAGGTGGAATTCAAATGAAAGCAGTTGAATGCCAAAACCCATGCACTTAACCGCTCCTACATACTGCTTCCCCCAACAAGGCAACAACTAGAAAGCATCCATTACATATTTGTGTGGATTTCCATGCTTAAATCTATATACACATTTCAAAATTCAAAAGGTACAAAATTTTCCCTCCTCTCTGGAGGCAATCAGTGTTGTCAGGTATAGATGTAAAATGATGCACCTGGTACAGGGAGTTAGCCTAGCAGTTAAGACACCCATGTCTTACATCAGAGCGCCTAGGTTTAATACCGGCTCCAGCTCCTGACTCCAACTTCCTGCTAATGCAGAGCCTGGGAGGCAGAAGTAATGGCTCAAGTACTTGGGTTCCTGCCCCCTATGTGGGAGACATGGCTTGCATTCCTGGCTGCTAGATTTGACCTGGCCAGAGTTCCAGCTGTTTGGGGCATTTGGGGAGTAAACCAGCAATTGGAATCTCTCTTTTTCTCTCTCAAATAAATACATTTATTTAAAAAAAAAAAAGATGATGTACTAGCAAGTAAGCACTTAGTAATTTTTATATGCATTTCTTTTTGTGTGAGTGAGGCTGAGCATCTTGAGCCTCAACTGTATTTGATCCATCGGATTTTGCAACATGGCAATCACCATTGACCTTGATGGACCTGGTTTTCGTAGCCAAGGACAGGGAGAGCAGTTAAGAGAGCACTGAGGAGTTAACAGGAGGTAACCTGTAGGGTTGGAGTAGGCAAGTATTTGAGCAAGATGGAGAGAGAAGTGGGAGCAAGGGAGATAGTTGGAGAGAGGGAGAGGTTTTCAAGATGCAGACTTCCCAAAAGGAACGCTGAAGACCTTGAACTATGTTCAAACTACAGGGACTCGGAGCACTGCCAATTATTGGCTGGGTGACCTTGTGTAAGTCACTTAACCTCTCTGGGGATTCATTTTCCCCATCTGTGAAAGCAGGGCTAATAGTCCCTTCCACGCAGGGATTAAATCGGTGAACACATTTAACAAACTCAGAAAAAGGCCCGTCGAAACATCATACGTTAGGATGACTTGGTCCTTTCTGTCCCCAGACCTCTAGTTATGTTTTCAGAGGGAATGATGCGCCCAGCACACTGCTAGCCTGCAGCCCCGGGGCTGGAATGGAGGCCGGGAACAGCCGGCTGTGCGCAGGCGCGCGGCGAGCGGGGTGGGAGCGCAAGGGGCGGGGCTGCAGCCGCCTGGGCTGTTCCGACGATCGCGCGCCGCCCCCGCCGCGCCCCGCGCCCGCCCTTGCTAGCAGGCGCCTCTCGCCCCCTGCATTGCTGATGCTGCTGCTGGCAGACATGGACGTGGTGAATCAGGTACGCGCTCCAGCACCGCGGACAGAGCCCGCC